CCACTGGCCTAGGGTAAAATGAGTTTCCTTATATGTCATTTTGTTTAAAATTGCAGTTTTCAAGAACCTATCGATGACATTAAATGGTGGGGTGAGGAGTTGCAATTTTATTGTTTATTTGTTGTTGTTAATCCTTACCGAGGACATTTTCCCATTTATTTTTTAGAGAGATTGAAAGGGACAGGGTGGAGAGAGAGAAAAATATCCATGTGAAAGGGGCCCATCGATTGGTTGCCTCCTGCATGTGCCCAGCCAGGGTGGGGGATGGAGCCTGCAACCAAGGTGCATGCCCTTGCCCACAGTCGAACCCGGGACCCTCCAATCCACAGGCCAACACTCTATCCACTGAGCAATTTAAAAGAGGGTGGGCATGGTGGGCCTCACCAGGAAGGTTATACTTGATGATACAAGGCAGCCGAGGGAGCCCTGGGGGTATCTAGTAAGAACATGCACTCAAGGAGAAGGAACAGCACATGCCAAGGTCCTGAGGGGGGGCATGTCAGCTTCTTCAAGAAACAGCAAGGAGGCCAGTGAGGGAGGCAGAGAAATAGCAGGTGGGAAGGTCAGAGTGGTCGGGACAGACATGCTTGACCGGTTCAATTCCGGTCAAGGGCAAGTACCTTGGTTGCGGGCACATACCCAGTAGGGAGTGAGATGGCGGAGGTTAGGAGAGCAGCATGAAGGGCAGGAGTTCCAGTTTGGATGGAGGTCCTTGTGTTCCCTCCGATTCTGAGAAGGCCTCCAGTGTTTTGCTGGCGAGAGCTCTGGCGAGTTAGTGAGGACTTGACTGTGATACTTCGGACCTGGAAAATTAGCATGTGTATCTGTGTGACTGGGTGTATCCATTTGTGTTTCTCCGTTCCTTGGTCTCTCCTGTCTCCTGAGGATTTCTGCCTTATATTTTACCACACTTGCATTGGCTTTGTCTTCAGTTCTTTTGGGCTTATATGATTTATTTTATTGAGTAAAATACTTTTTTAAAATATTTTCTTTTTAAATGATTTTGAACATTTTCTCATAGACTACAGCAGCAGTTCTCAATTTTTTCTAGTCCCAGAACTCCCTTATACTCTTACAAATCATTGAGGGTCCAGAGAGCTTTCGTTTATCTGAGTTATAGCTATCAGTACTTACCATGTTCAAAATTTAAAATAAGAGTTAAAAAAAAAACTATTAACTTCTGAAAAAAAATGCTATAATAAAACCAGGTGTCTGACAAATAACATTTTATTAAAAAAAAAATAACTACTTTCTAAAGCAAAACAAACAAACAACAACAAAAAAAAAACCATATAGTGGGAAAAATAATATTGTTTTACATTTTTGCAGCTGGATTTTCATATCTGCTTCTGGATTCGGTTGAAATATATTATTTTAGTTGAAATATGTAAGGAAAATCTAGCCATACATGAATAGGTAATTGGACAAAGAAGGAATTTTCTTAATCTTTCCAGTTACTTGTGGACATTCTTTGATAGCACACTGAAACTCAATAAGTGCTAGATTCTTAAAGGGTTCTACCACACAATGGTAGATAGTCCCATGAAAGATTTCATACTTGGATATTCCAAAGTTATGAGGATGTTTCATTAACAAATATAATGATGCTTTCTATCTATCTATTCATATAAAAGCCTAAACACCCGGTCAACCAGTCACTATGGCTCACACTGACCACCAGGGAACAGACACTAAAGCACAGGATCAAGCTCCCTCCTGTCTGGATCGGGCCTGTGGGGATTGGGCAGAAACTGGCTATCCGTCCTGAATTGTGAGAGGGTGCAGGCCAAGCTAAAGGACCCCACCAGTGCATGAATCCATGTTCTGGGCTTCTAGTTATATATGTTATTCTAACTATAAGTGAGACTAAGATCATATGCAATGTTAACAGTTGGCCTTTTGTTAACCATTCTAACTGAACAGTCTAAGACAGTGGTTGGCAAACTGCTACTCGCGAGCCATATGCAGCTCGTGAGCCGCGGTTTGCCGCTCTGATGACTAATGAGTTTGCCGACCACTGGTCTAAGAGAAGGATCAGACAATCCCACAGAAGTCAGTGGGGTTTATAATCTGACACCCTGGAGCTTGATGTGAAATACCGTATTCCTGGAGCTTGATGTGAAATACCGTGCTGTGAAGTGGGTGTTTTGGAACAGGCAGTAATCTTGAGGTAAAAAGACAAAATAGATGACACAGCATAGAACTAAGCCAACTTGGAAGGCAGCTTTTTTAGTCACATAGCAGGTGTTTCACCAAATCTGAGATTATCCTGTCAGGCTGGATAAAGAATTGAAATAATAAAAGAAAGAAAAGCCCAAACCAGTTTGGCTCAGTGGATAGAGCATTGATCTTCAGACTCAAGGGTCCTGGGTTTGATTCCTTTCATTCCGCAGGCAGACGCTCTATCCACTGATCCAAACCGGTTTCGGCAAGATTTCATTTCATTTTTATTATAGATTTAAACCCCCTCCCCCCCAGAGTTCTAGAAAAGATTCATGGGAGACAAAAAGTAAAGGCAGGGTAAACAAGAGTAGAAGAACTGACGTTAACCAGAGACAATGAGGCAGTTGTCACACCAAGGAATCCAGGCTCACAATGGCTATCACAACTGATGAGAAAGGTTAATTCTTACTTGTCTCAAGAATTGAGAGAAACATGGGGACTATACTGTTCTCGTTACCTGAACTGAAGAAGTTGTGAGTAGAAGTGTACTTCTTATGGCTGAATGAAATGTAAGCAGTTAACTGCCACGATATTTTGAATCTAATTTTAAAAGGTCTGCCGCTTGCCTCTGTAGACACTTACGGCGTACAAATGGTTAAAAAATTATCAAATGGACTCTTACATAAAGGATGTTGAGTAACATAATGGGCACAGCTTATATCAGCTCCACAAAAGGGTAAAAAGAGATTGTGTATGTGGCCATCTGGCCTTCCCAACGGAATCAATGCCGCGGGCTAAACGTAAGACTCCACTGCCATGGGGAGATAAAGAAATACCAGCAAGCTCCGTGGCTTTCTGGATGTCACTGGACAAGGGATAGAGAGACTGGGTGATGGCTGGTTAGTGTATCCCGTGAGCCAGAGGAGGTTTTTGTGAGTTTTTTTAACTGCAGGGGTGATACCTTATTGTACAGTGAAATTAGTTTAGTGAGTTGCTGTCGGCATTTTTTAAAATATATTTTATTGATTTTTTTACCGAGAGGAAGGGAGAGGGATAGAAAATTAGAAACATCGATGAGAGAGAATCATCGATCAGCTGCATCTTGCACACCCCCTACTGGGGATGTGCCCGCAACCAAGGTACATGCCCTTGACCTGAATCGAACCTGGGACCTTTCAGTCTGCAGGCCGATGCTCTATCCACTGAGCCAAACCGGTTTCGGCAGCTGTTGGCGTTTTTTAAATGAAAGATAATAGAACAGAACAAACGGCGTCACACATGGTAAGGGTCACGTTTTAATTTCATTTGCGTCTTAGTTCAGCCATGTATTTATTGTACACGCGCGCGGCATGAACACTGCTGCTTTTGACTGCCCCTCACAAGGCTACTAGTTGGCAGGCCCTGGCCATTCCAGACTGATTATAGAACATGTGTGGAGAATAACACGAACTCGTCTCTGGGGAAAAACAGAGCTGGGATCCTCAGACCAGAGCCACTGTGCCTTTAAATTGTGCTCATTTAGGAGCCTGTGATTAGACTCGGCATTGTGGGCTCAGAAACATACTTTCCTGGTTTCATATGTTCTGTTTGTCCTCAGTACCTCACAGAGTTCTATTTGAAAACCCTACTCGCCTTTGGCTGTAATGAAAGGGAAAGCAGAGAAGGAACGAGGTGGGTCCCAAAGAGGGGCAGGGCGCCCCTGGTGGTCAGATGTGGCCATGCAGGCTGTGACTTTCCATTGAGAGACCCTTGGGAGCCACCAGTTAGGAACAGCTGCTCCTCCAGATCTTGCTTCTGCTCTGAGCTGGTAATAATACCTTGACAGACAGGCACTGATTACTTAGAGGAAACTTAAAGGAAAACCACTTTCCTGCCTCATGAACTCTGTTTGGATCAGCTCACCAGTCCGTCTTTGAAAACGATAGGAGGCTTGTGGCAGGACCACGGCGTTGCCCAGCTCTAGGAGTTCCATCCACACAGCAGCCTGGAGGGATGATGAGACCCTTAGCATTTTGGGAGGGGACCCTGCTCCCCCCGATTTGGACATGTATCTATAGCTACAGCTTCGGAGAAAGCGTCCCGAGAGGGTTTCCAACTATGCAACTCCTAGCGATGGTCTGAGAAACAGGCTGGGGCGCGAGGAAGATTTAGCTTCCCGTGTTGATCCCCAAGTCTTGGAAGCAACGACAGCATGACATAAAAACCTGGCTTTTTGGCAGTCTGCCTGACCCTTGAACTCGCACGCGCTTTCCTTTTCCTCCTCCGGGGACGACGGTGACTTCAGGTATTCACCCTGGTCCAGCGTTTGACATACCGCCCGAGGCCGTCCTACAGTACAGCCTCTGACAGAACGAGGCTGTCCCGAACCCCTGGTGATAGAACTGTTCACCTTCACACCGGGAAGGTCGGGAGAGCACCCACACCTGCGTGTGGTGTGTGCCCAGGCCGGCCTCGCGGAGCCTCGTGCTGGGAGGCCTGAAGTTCCCCTGAGGTTGTCCAAAACGAAAACACACGTCAGCAGGGCCTCCGGCGGAGCCGTGTGTGCTGAAGGTGTCCGTGACAGGATCAAGCCTGCTTTCCTTACTGAGGAGCAGAAAATCGCTGTGGAAGTGTTGAAGGCACAAGCACAGAGTCAGAAAGCTAAATAAATTTTAAAATGAAGCTTTTTTTTTTTTTGAGTAATATTTTAAAAAAAAAAAAAAAAAAAAAAAAAACCTTGTCTTTTCATGCAAAAAAAAAAAAAAATTTTTCTTTTCCCCAAAAAGGTTGAAAATAATCTAGACACAAAGCAGGTCCTTGTGGAGGGGTCTCTGACCGTCTCTCTCCTCTCCTTTCAGATGACAGTCATGTCCCTTTCCAGGGACCTCAAGGACGACTTGCACAGCGACACGGTGCTCTCCATCTTAAACGAGCAGCGCATCCGGGGCATCCTGTGCGATGTCACGATCATCGTGGAGGACACCAAATTCAAAGCCCACAGCAACGTCCTGGCTGCTTCGAGCCTTTATTTCAAAAACATCTTCTGGAGCCACACCATCTGCATCTCCAGCCACGTCCTGGAGCTGGATGACCTGAAAGCCGAAGTGTTCACGGAAATCCTCAATTACATCTACAGCTCCACCGTCGTCGTCAAGAGGCAGGAAACGGTCACTGACCTCGCGGCTGCGGGGAAGAAGCTGGGGATATCCTTCCTGGAAGACCTGACCAGCCGCAACTTCTGCCACTCCCCGGGGCCCTACGTGTACTGCATCACCGAAAAGGGGGTGGTGAAAGAGGAGAAAAATGAAAAGAGACAGCACGAGGAGCCGGCCATCGCCAACGGGCCAAGGATCACAAACGCGTTCTCCATCATCGAGACGGAAAACAGCAATAGCATGTTTTCCCCGCTGGACCTGAGGGCGAGCTTCAAAAAGGTCTCGGACTCCATGAGGAACGCCAGCCTCTGCCTGGAGCGGGCGGACGGCTGCCACGAGGCGGAGCCCGTGCGGACCCTGGCCGAGCACTCCTACGCCGTCTCCTCGGCCTCCTCGGCGCCCGAGGCTTACCGGAGCCAGCCCCAGCCCCAGCCCGAGCGGGAGCCCGCCGGCAGCCCGCCCGGCCGGACAGGCCAAGAGAACGGGGAAGCCGTGGCCGCAAACCCGACGGCATGCCAGAAGCCCGCGGCACTCTCCGTACCCCAGGATTCCGAGCCGGCCACGGAGAAGACACCGCCCCCGCCGCCTGGAACCCGCGTGGAGGCTCCCCAAGAGAGGAGCCCGCAGCCGGCCCCAGGCCTTCCCGGCTCAGCATCTCCCGACGCGGAAGGCGACGTCCGTCCTCCCAGGGGAGACGAGAACGCGGCCTCCGAGGTCCCCGGGCCAACGCCGGCCGCGGAGATCCCGCCTCTCGTCTACAACTGCAGCTCCTGCTCCAAGTCCTTCGACAGCAGCACTCTGCTCGGCGCCCACATGCAGCTGCACAAGCCCACCCAGCAGCCGCTGGTGTGCAAGTACTGCAACAAGGAGTTCAGCACCCCGAACAGGCTGGACCGGCACGAACACATCTGCATGCGGTCCAGCCACATCCCCGTCCCGGGAGGAACCCAGTGCTTTTTAGAAAACTACCCCACCATCGGACAGAACAGAGCCTCCTTCCCCGGCCCGGAGTCCTTGTTATCCGGAAATAGGATCGGCGACTTTCCCGGTCCCGGGAGCACCCTGCCGGAGATGGACCACCTGGTCAAACTGGTGAACGGGCAGATGCTCTACAGCTGCACCGTGTGCAAGCGCAGCTACGTGACCCTGTCCAGCCTCCGCCGGCACGCCAACGTGCACTCCTGGAGGAGGACGTACCCGTGCCACTACTGCAACAAGGTGTTCGCGCTGGCCGAGTACCGGACGAGGCACGAGATCTGGCACACGGGGGAGAGGCGGTACCAGTGCATCTTCTGCCTGGAGACGTTCATGACCTACTACATCCTCAAGAACCATCAGAAGTCTTTCCACGCCATAGACCACAGGCTCTCCGTCAGCAAGAAGACGGCCAACGGAGGCCTGAAACCGAGCGTCTACCCGTACAAACTGTACAGGCTGCTGCCCATGAAGTGCAAGAGGGCCCCTTACAAGAGCTACCGGAGCGCTGCCTACGAAAGTGCCCGAGAGAACAGGCAGGGGCGTGAGCCCGCAGCCGGCCCCTATGGCGTTCAGAACCCACGCGGCTCGGAGCTGCCCGCTCTGAATTTCCCCGAGGGCATGCACCCCGCGACCCGCAGCCCCGCCGTCCCGCCGGACACGGCCGCGGGCCAGAGCAGACCCGCGTCTGCCAGCGTTCAGAACGCAGAGGGGTCCGAGTGGGGAGAGGGGACACTGAAAGCCGGTCTTGACAATAACTTTTATTCAAAGGAGGCGTCCCTTCCTTTCCCTGAAAACGCAGTCGGTTCCAGGCTCCCGGCGGCCGGGGGGATGCCCGCCCTGTCTTTGAGTCAGGGCAGCGAGAACTCGGCGTCTGTCATCAGCTACGGCGGCGCCGCGCCCTCGGTCATCGTGCACAGCAGCCAGTTCTCCTCGGTCATCATGCACAGCGGCATGGTGGCCGCCCTGTCCGGCTCCGGCAGCAGCCACAGGGCCCCCTCAGGCCCGGCCGCCGGCCAGACCGTGAAAGAGGACAGCAAGCCCGAGCCAGACAAAGCGGGCAGGGTGGGCAGCAGACACAGAGGCACTAAGGAGAAAAAGAAAACCGCCCCCTGTGACAGGGGAGACGTCCCGGAGGAATCGAGATCCGCCGCCGCCGACCCCGGAGGGTCGCTGAGCAGAACCACGAACGCCAGCAAGGAAACCAGCAAAATCGAAACCTACATCGCGAAGCCCGCCCTCCCCGGCACCTCCACCAACAGCAACGTGGCGCCCCTGTGCCAAATCACAGTCAAGATCGGGAACGAAGCCATCGTGAAGAGGCACATCCTAGGATCCAAGCTGTTCTACAAAAGAGGGAGGAGGCCCAAGCACCAAGCGCAGGAGGAGGCTCTGCCGCAGGACAGTGACCCGGACACCAAGGGCGACAGCCCGCTCGACCTCTGCCAGTCCGAGTGCATGGACATGAGCGAGATGTTCGACGAGGCCAGCGACCAGGACTCCACGGACAAGCCGTGGCGCCCTTACTACAACTACAAGCCCAAGAAGAAATCGAGGCAGTTGAGGAAGATGAGGAAAGCCAACTGGAGGAAGGAGCACGGGGGCAGGAGCCCGGGCGCCAAGTATAAGTACCCGGCGGAACTGGACTGCGCCGTGGGCAAGGCCCCTCCGGAGAAGGCGTTCGAGGAGGAAGAGAACAAAGAGATGCCCAAGCTGCAGTGCGAGCTCTGCGACGGAGACAAGGCCCCGGGGACCGGGAGCCCGGGGAGGCCCCACCGGCATCCCACGGCCAGGCCGTACGCCTGCGAGTTCTGCGCCAAGCAGTTCCAGAACCCTTCCACGCTCAAGATGCACATGCGGTGCCACACCGGGGAGAAGCCGTACCCGTGCAAGACCTGCGGGCGGCGCTTCTCGGTGCAGGGGAACCTGCAGAAGCACGAGCGCATCCACCTGGGCGTGAAGGAGTTCGTCTGCCAGTACTGCAGCAAGGCCTTCACGCTCAACGAGACCCTCAAGATCCACGAGCGGATCCACACCGGCGAGAAGCGCTACCACTGTCAGTTCTGCTTCCAGAGCTTCCTGTACCTCTCCACCAAGAGGAACCACGAGCAGCGCCACGTCCGAGAGCACGCCGGGAAGGGCTTTGCCTGCTTCCAGTGCCCCAAGATCTGCAAAACGGCTGCCGCCCTGGGAATGCACCAGAAGAAACACTTGTTCGAAAGCCCGAGCCAGCAGGAGAGGATGGGAGGCGAGCTGTACCACTTGGCTCCGCTGGAGAACCCCCATTTCATGGATTCGGAAGACAGTGACCAAAAGGATCATCTACAAACCATGGTTGGAAATGTCCTTTGAGTAGTGAGGGGAGGGCGGGGGGGAATCTTCAAAAATATAAATTGGTGGGGGGGTTTTTTGTTAGTTTGTTTTTTCAGTTAGCTGTTTGTGTGTGTATGTGTGCGCGCGCGTGTGTTTTAAGTTCAGTTTTGTTTTGTTCACATAACAGTCATGAAGGAGTGAATTGTAAAAAAAGGAAATCTCATTTGTGAACGTTTCAGAAAAAGGATCCCAGGATCTACTTTGGGTTTTAGCATTAACGTCTTACAAAGTGCGCAAACATGACATGGCTGACGCCGTCAGTATCCCAAGTATCTTGTGCAAGTTTATGAAGTTCTGAGCTGTGGTATTTCTGCCGGTGGCGGTGGGGGGGGGTTGGGGGTGGGGAGTGTTTAACTTTAGCCTAATTTAAAACTTTCTGGTTAGTGCTGTTAGGAACTGGCTGCTACACTGTCTTTAGTCACTGGAGAAAAAGGTCAGACATCATGAAAATGTCAACTGCATAAGCAAGTTCAAAGGTAAAATGGGCTCTGACAGTCATTCCCATTCAGCTTCTGCACTGTTGAAAACCGTTTAAATTCCATGGGTACATAAACACTTACTATAGCTTAAAAAAACTGTGTGTGAAATGAGTAACCTAAGTAGGACATTCACATATTAGAACTACTTTTCTGCAACACAAACCTTGTAAAATACATATGCAAATCACCCTAACGTTTAACTGTCCATGTCCCCTGTGGAGAATTATACCGATGAGCAATAGATCGGCAGATAATGAGGACTGGTGTGAAAACCGGTAGAAAGCATTCTGAAGACGAGTTAAGAGAGCATGTCGATGCTTTTAGATGGGATGCTGTTCTCTTGAGGTTGTGGCTGAACTGTTACTAGAACTGGTCTGTTTAAGTCACAGAAAACATAGGTCATGCCTTATCTATGGGGGGAAAGCCTTCCCAGAATTCACCTGTGGTTACCCGTGCTGTGTGTTACTTTGCAATGACCTCACCTCAGAAAATGAAGAAGGTTCGCGTTCTTCTGAAACTCCCTGTGGTCACCCGTCCATCCCGAGGCCATCCATGTGGAGGTCTGTTCCAGGCAGAATTCAAGGGGTCACGTCAAACCCGGCACCTCAGGTTCCACGGAAGGGGGGTCTGGGAAATTTAACGCAAAGCATGCGTACCTTGGTGAGCGCCCAGCGCTTGAAAGGGACAGAAAGCCTAATTCCTACAATGATAGCTCGGCAGCCCACAAGCAGACACTAATATAAAACAAAAGGACGACAGAAATGCACACTCGGCCCCTCCCGTTCCAGACTTGAGTAGGCCTCCGGAAAGGGATGACCGTCCTTGCCTCAAACAGCTTTGTTTGGGGGTGGCGAGGGAGGCAGAATATGGGGTGATAAGATTCCATCACTTATGTGACTCAGAAATATATCCACAAAGTCAGATGCCTTGTCTTCATGTTTACAGACATCTAGCCCCCTTGCTTTAAAAAAAAAAAAAAAAAAAAAAAAAGCCCACTTACATTTCTTCAATGTTCTTTTATGTTGACCCACACCATCAACATTGCCCTCAAAGTCTAATTGTCCTACAGGAGGTCCATCATCGGGACTAGGTCCCAGGAAGCTGGAACTCATGATTCTTACTTTTTAAGCTGCCATCATGGGAGGCGGAGAGAAAGCATTCCTATCCTTTGGTCACCAGTATGAGCAGAATCCGGAAATCGGTTCAAGGGTGACCTGCAGTCAGTCAATCATGTTCACGGGATTTGATAGATAGAAACCCAAGGCTGCCCAAGATTGCAGAGTTACCATTATGAAGGAGTAGCTCCAAGGACTCCAGTTTCTCTCTCCAAATGGGGTGTCTTCATGAAGAAGTATGAATACGGATTCAGGTGGGCAAGAACATTCAAACACCCAGAAGAGGACATGATCAAAGCTGGCCTTGTAATACTGTCGTACTTTGCTGTTAAGTAACCCCAATATTGTATCTGCATTTATCTTTTGTTCAAACACATTCAGTTACATACAGTATTATATAATAGAGGGAAATGGAAAAGATGCAAGCAAATTCAACTTTATTTTACACATTGTATATATGTATACCTGCACTATTCATTTGGTTTTGTTACAGAGATAGTCACCAAGGGCTGAAGAATTGGTCATTAGAATATTGAATAAGCAACCCTGTGATCTACTAATTTGTTTGATCCCAATTAGGATTAAGAATCAAGAAAAAATAATTGTGTATTTTAGTCATTTTGATTTGAGGTAACTCCAGATAAGCAATTATTACATGTAGTGATGTCTCCCAGCCCTTACACGTGGGTATTTTTTAAGTGGACTCGTATGCTGATAATTCTAGACCAAAGTAAATATGGCAGAATATTTATACATGAAAAAAATAATTTTGCAAATATTTTCTATAATTGTATTATTCGTTTAAAACGTTGACAGCTTGTGTTAGTTTCAGGGAGGGGTGTATATTTTGATAAAAAATACTTGACTTTGTAATTCTGTATATTCTACACAATTTATAGCAGAGCCGTTTTACGACAGCCTTGTCACATTTTTTGTTAATTGTGAAAACTTTATTTTGAGTGATGTTTAAGTATGCATTGAGTACATAACGACCAACTAGAATTCAAGTTAAGTGTAAACAGTGAACATACTGTATGCTGTACAAGATATATTGTAATTTGCTGTTTTAGCATCTGTATTTTGTTTAGAAGATATTATTAAATGCAGATGTTAAGGGTTGGAAAAAGTCTAATTTTATTTTTAGAAATAATGAATATAAATTTGCTTTTGCTTGATTAAAATAGCTTGTTCCTATGTTAAGTCTCTTTTTAATGTTTTAATGTTACTTCTTTTATGCAGCCACGCAGCTATTTCATTGGTGTGCGTCACAGCGTCATGTTGCTACCTCTTCACTGTTTACATTCCGTGGTACCCACTTACATGCTTACTACTCAAATGCAATATGACTTAAAAAAAAAAAAAAATCAGCCCTAGCTGGTTTTGCTCAGTGGATAGCGCATCGGCCTGCAACTAAAGGGTCCTGGGTTCAATTCCGGTCAAGGGCACAGGCAGGGATTGCAGGCTCGATCCCCAGTAGGGGGCATGCAGGAGGCAGCCAGTCAATGATACTCTCTCTTCGATGTTTCTATCTCTCCCTCTCTGAAATCAATAAAAATCTTTTTTTTCTTTTAAGGCAAAATGAGAGAAGTTGAAGTTTTCTGGTGATATAGTGCTTTGGATAGGCCTGATGGTATCATGATAAATCAGAGTATTGGACGTATTCTGCTGGACTCATCCACAGGAAACAAACTGCACCCGTGGAGTGCCAGGCACTTGGCCATGGTCTTTTCATGGCTGTTTCACCCAGTCCTTCCCCAGCAGCCCTGGGAAGTCGATGTCATCATTCACATTTCATAGTGACTTTGAGAAGATCCCAGAGACAGGCAGAAGCCAGATCCCAGCCCAGCGCTGCCCACGTTTTGTCCCTTCTCAACATCTTAGAGAGAAGCGCTGAATGGGAACGGAACAGAGAGTGAAGAGAAAAGGCTTGACAAAGTAACTCAGCGTTAGGAGGGTAGCTGTTACAATGACAGCTCTGAAGAGGCCCTGAGGCTCAGCTTCCCCAGACTCATCACGAATCTACTTCCTGAGGCCTCGCTACTTTGGCCATTTGGGGGTTTTTTAATATCCTGGGATATTGCCCCAATAAATCCCGATTTTAAGAGTTCGTACACTTTTTTTTTTTAAGACCAGGGACTGAAATGATCATTTAATGCTATTTTATGCTAACATTTTTCACCCTAAAAGCTGTTCCATCATCACATCCGGTACTCTGAACTTGAGCTCATTACCTTCAAAAGCTTGCAGTTAGTCACAGTGTCGGTGGCTCAGGCATCACGGTTCATCACCAAATGGGCTGCGGAAAAGAACCCACGTTTCCAGTCCTGGCTGGTAGCATCAATTTTGTATCTGAAGGACAATTCTAAACTAATTCTCCCCCCCCCCCAATTTCATAATTGCTGACTGCTAAAACTAACTTCACTCTCTAGCAAAAAGATGTAATGTTAAAAGAATGTGTAACGGTTGTGAAGGTAACCGTGAATCATACAATCCTGTCTGTGCATATTCTTTTAGTTCTTCTTCTGGCTCTTTTTATTCCTGTTGCTACTCTCCCCTTCTCTCATCACCTGTTGATTGATTTGGTCCCACTCCCTCTGTCTCCATCAGTTCCTCTTTGCAGACCTCAAGTGATTTTTCCCCCCCCATTTGAATTTCCTCCATATCTGAGGACTCTTCAGCTTTCCCCTCCCCAGATCCCGCCCTCTATTCATCTCCTGCTCTGGAAGAGAGCAGGCTCCTCCCTCCCCTCCACCCTGTAACCCTTGCTCATGATTCTTCAAGCAAGATGGTCAGTGAGCAGGTGCACAGTTTTTAAAATGAAACACTCCAAATTCAGACAACTGATGAAAGGACTGGTTACAACAGAAATGTGACTACACTTCTATTATTTAATTCTTGACATCTACAACGTCAAATGATTCTACTTTTTTAGAATGCTTGGCTGAGAATTCAACAGCAACCCTTTTCTAAAGTAATTTTGAAAAGTATTCTACGTAATTATTCTAGGTCAGTAATTTCAGCCTTTTTCATCTCATGGCACACATAAACGAATAACTAAAAATTTTGGCACACCAAAAGTTATATTTTTTGCCAATCTGACAAATAGGTATATATTTTTTTTGCCAATTTGACAAATAGGTATAATTTTGATTCATTCACACTGGATGGCTATTGTTGTGTTGGCTGTTGTGTTGGTCAGTGCCCCTGACTAAATAAGTATTTCCCTTTTTTAAAAAAATTTTTTTTAATTTCTTGTGTCACTCCAGTTGAAAGTGACTCTTCTATGTGATATTTTAATAGGAGAAATTTCAAACATGCAAAAGTAGAATACTATGGTGAAACCCAGTGTACCTATTATCCAATTTCAACAATCAGAAATTCATAGCTATTTTTTAAAATATGTTTTTATTGATTTTTTTTTTTTTTTAGAGAAAGGGAGAGGGAGAGAGACAGAAATATCAGTATCATTGATCAGATGCCTCCTGCACGCCCCCTACTGGGAATCAAGCCTGCAATTTGGCATGTGCCCTGACGGGGAATCAAATCGAAGGTCATTCAAACTTTTGAGAAGGTATCTGGGATACAAGAGTGGGCAAAACAAACAGTCCCCAGAGCGTAGGGCCTACTGGGGATCACAGACGCTGTATAATTACAACTGCAGTGAGTGCTGTGCAGGAGAGCCATGTGGTGCTGTGAGGACATCTGATGGGGAGACCTAGCCTAGTCTGGAATTTCAAAGGAAGTCATCCTGAGGCAGTAACTTGAGCTGAGGTCTGAAAAAGGAGTAAGAGTAAACGAGAAGAGGGTGTCCATCCAGGCAGAGGGAGCAGCGGGTAGATAGTTCTGCTCCCAGAAGGAGCACAGTGCACAGAAGCCAAAGGTGGCCCGAGCACAAGAGAGACGGATATGAAATGACCAAGGACAGGAGCCATACCATGCAAGGCCTCCCAGGGTGTGGATCAGTAATAAGCCAGTGAATTGTTTAAAGTAGATTGGGACACAATGAGGCATTTTAATCAAATTTGTGTCGTGAAAAAGGTCACTGTGGCTGAAATATAGAGAGTGATTTGGAAGGTGGTGGTAGCCAGCGGGAGAGCAGTTAGGAAGCTATTGCAGTGACCCAGGCTGGGGGGGAGAGGAGGGATTATGAATTGTCAGTAAAGATGGGAGAAAAGTGGGGGTGGAATTGAGAGCTATTTAGGAGATAAAATCAGCAGGACTTGATGGTGGATTGATATGGAAAGGGAAGGGTTAAGGATAACCTTTTGGTTTCAGAATTGTTGAAACACCCTGGGGCTCGATCCCCAGAGTGGGGCCTGCAGAAGGCAGCTGGTCAATGATTCTCTTTCCTCATTGATGTTTCTATCTCTCTCTGCCTCTCCCTTCCTCTCTGAAATCAATAAAAGTATATTTTAGATAAAGAAGCTTAGCTATGTATGGGGAGAAGAAAAAGAAAGGATTCACCATTTGCGGGGAGGGAAGAACAAAGGATGAAGAGGCAAGGGAGTTGAGGTATTGGCAAGAGACTGGTTGTAGCAAAGAACTATGGGGCCAGGGTTTGAGGAAGTGCAGGCCTCAGTATGGGGGGGGGGGTCCAGAAATGGGGTGTCTCAGCAAAGGCTA